GACGGTGCCCGCCCGCGACGGGGCGGCCGCACGAACTGCTGGCGGCCTGGGCGCGGAGGGTGCCTGGACGCGACCGCAGGGACCAAACCAACGCTCACCGTATGCTACGGGTGATGCTGCCCGAGTGGTGAATTCGGATGAACTCGTTGCTGGTGGTGGCGATGTGGAAGTAGGATTGCTTCTCGTTCACGAAGAACGTGTCGGGCACCCAGATGTTCTTGATGAACTCGGAGCCCACGCTGAGCGTCTCCACGCCCGGCCGCTTGCGGAAGGCCAGCCGCGGGTCTGTCCAGAACTGCCGGAAGTAGAAATCCAGCGTGAAGTCCTGTGGGCGAGAGCGGGGTGGTGAGCGGGCGTAGGGTGGGGACGCGCCCCTCCCACCGCCCGCGGATGCCTGCCCTTCCCCTCCCTCCCACGCACTCTACCTCCTGGCACTTCTCACAGCCATATTCCTCGAGATACAGTCTCCTAAATTTCCCATTTCTTTGCGTGTTATCTCTTCATCACCTAGATACTGTTATTTGACGCAAACGTCTGTCTTAACGTTCTCAGCACGTACGCTATTTCCTAGAATGTATCACAAATAACCCACTACGGATGTGATGCAACTGACCAAGGTTTTCTTTGCCTAGCCAGAGAGAGTCGAATCAGCCATTGGCCTTACAAATAACACTTTTCACGGCACGAATAGAAAGCTTATAAACGTCAAAATATTTTCCCTGAAATCCTAGTCACCTAACTACACATATTTCTCTTGAGTGTGCTGAAAAATATTTACCAGTTATACTTTTCCTGTTTACAAATCAGAAATAAATAATAAATTGTCACTCAAGAGTGTAACACCATTAATATCATGTAACATACATACATTCTGGTTACAACTAGCATTGAATTATAGAATAAGTGTCAATATTTTCAAAGTTTAAGTAATCCAAATATTGCTTTTTCTCTATACTTGTCACTTAGCTCTGATCTTCAAGAATATTGTTATGTTTTTTCTAAACTTAAATCAAATCGTGAAGTGATATATCGCAATTGTTGAGGACTGTTTTTATGAGATTATTTGTTTTAGTCTCATATTATATATAATTTTATTAATATTTGATTATTGCAATGCACTTCACATTTTGTGTACAGAAAATAAAATTGATTCACATTTAAAACTGATTATAAATTAGCATATTACCATCCTATATGATTGAAATTGCATGGGTGTACCGAAACGACAAAATGTACTTTGTGACATGTTTATTTTCAACGGTTTCATTGCTATATTGCACAATGTTACTTTATTATGTTAAGAGAATATAATTTATAAAATGAAATTTATTGTCGTACTTTCACTATCTTAAATATTAATGGATTATAATTATGTTTCCTTGTAACTTAAAATTCTTTCCACCTTTTTTATACATAACCTTTCAAAAATCGTATTTTTACCAAAATCAGACGTTTTAAATCACCTATTCGAATAACATACTTTCGCCTTTTTTCTTTCGTACTTTTTATTAATTTTTTGTGTAATAATTTTTTCTTACTTACAACATCATTATATTGTGATACGTCATATTTTAACAAGACCATACATTACGTTTGTAATTGCGATTTCAATACTGACTTACGAATTTTGTGTCGATGTTCCGTTCATATTTTCAAAACATGAAAAATTACAATTTTTTAAAAGCTTGAATGGAACTGAATTCATTATGTATTCCGTATATTCATTTGTACTTTCCTTCCTCACTCCTCGACCCTCTTCTCGCCTTACCCAGCCTTCTCCCCTCCTTAGGACGAAGCCCCTTCCTTTCAACGACCCTCCCCAACAACCGCCCCCTCCCTTCGCCCCGAGTCACTTGATCCTCCGCCTGGGAGACACCCCCTCCCCCTTCCCCTTCCCCGGCCAGCCCGCTCCCGGCGCCGCTGCCCCGCAGGCCCTCGGATCCATTCATTGCGCTGATCTCGCTGTAATCCTCCCTAATTTTCCGCGCCATTGTGTCCACTGTGTCGGTTTAGTAATCCTGAGCTGCCAACACGGACTGTCTCTCACGCCCATTGCTTCTGTCAACCAACTGGTAGGTAACGCCATGCATGTCAGAACACATTTGTTATCGTAAGTTAACCGCTGGCAAAATGGAATTAAATAGGTGTCGTTTTGTAATTATGTGTCAAGAAAGTGTGGTGTGTTATTTTGACGAAGTGACAAATAAGTACTTTTCGAAACACTTTATTTCAAATTATTATTAGTGTTGAAAACGTAATTTATGTACCTGATTTATATTTTTGGACAGCTTTGTCTAAAAAAGTACATTCAACAGAACCTGTTCCCAGAGCAATACCGTAATGACATTGATTTTCATTGACACACACTGAGTTATGATGTGTTTTTTTCCTTAAATCGACCACTCTTCAAAACTTCATGGCGTGTTAGCATTCGCCTAATTTATACAGCACGTCGTCATTGCTGGATCAGCGGTGGCTTGTTGAGCACATGCGCAGTATTTTGCCTCAACCCTGCGCCTCGAGGCTTTTAGGTCGGCGCGCTCGTTGGGACCTGCTGACACCCGACTGCGTCCACCTCCAGTTCCCCACTGCGCCGCCCCTCCACCTCCCCCCCCCCGCACGTAAAAGTGGCCTCTCCCTGCAGGAGACCCCGCGCGACTGAAACCCGGCCCCTCTCGGCAGCCCGAGGGCGCTGTTGTTTATCGGAGCCATCGAGCGACGCCTGCCGTGAAGGGCCTTGGAGAGGCCCTCGGCGTCCTCCGCCCCTCCCGGCCCCCACCGCTTCGTCCTCCAGGCATCCACGTCGGCGGGCGGCGCGGGCCGCACTGCTGCCGCGACGGAGGCGCTCCCGCGCCCTCGACGGCAGCACCGCGAACCACGCTCGAGGCGCTACGACTCCGCAGCGCTCGTGACAACAGTGGGCTGAGAAACACAACGAACTACCAGCACACACTAAGGCAGCGCGCAGGCCGCTGCAGGCATGCTCTACGGGGGGCGTGCACATGCGAGAGGGGGCGGGGCGGGAAGGGAGGGGACTGGGCTGGAGGCGGGAACGGGGGTCCGCGGGCTGCGGGGCGACAGGCCCTCCGGGCCCGAAGAGGACAGCTCCTCTGCGAACAGACCTTCGAGGGGGGGCGGGAGGTGTACGGATGTGTTCGTATGTGGGGTGTAGTGGGAGGCGACGCGAAAACGTGTCACGTCGGGGTGCTCCGAATCGTGCGAGTGGGGGAAAGATAAAAAGAGAGCGTTGAGTGGTGTGGCGTGTTCTGAGTGTCCAGTGGGTGGGGCGAGGAAGATTCTTCTCTTATTTCTTTTCATGTTGCGGTAGTATTGGTGATGTGGATAGACATGGCGGTTCCGTTTGGGGTGGACGTGAGACAAAGTAACCTATGGGCATAGTAGTAGAGGTAGTAGTTGTAATACAAAAGAGCACATGAGGTGTCGGCGCTTTGTGGTCGGCGTTTGTTCGTGGCTGCGTTGCTGCATGTCTGTTCTGGTTCTGCGGAAGAAGAGGTTCCTTGTTATTTTCGTGTCGCAGGCACTGCGGCCGCTGCGTAGCTCTTGCAGCCATGAGAGAAGGTACACATTAAAACACTGATGGGGCGTGGCCGGCGACAGGCGACAGGCGACAGTCGGAGGCGCGGTGGCCCAAGCGATAGGCGAGGGGTGGTGTATGATGTGGCAATGTGATGGGGGGACGGGCCAATTTCAGTAAAGTGTCGACGCTTGAGTATCGGGGGTAAGTAAACCTGGGTACAACGTGGGTTGTCTTGACCGGGGACGATATGTCTCTCTCACAAAGGATGTCGCATCGGCCAACGTGTCGGTTATCTAACTGATTGGGTCCAGCCCAAAACGTCAGACGCTGACAATGATGTGACATACTTTAGGCAACAGAGATTCGCAAGGGATCAATGTAAACTTGTCTTTGTATTATGGTATTTTTTGTTTATTTTTGGATTGTATTTGTTTTGTTAGTAGTTCCTATTGTGATATTTGGTTGGAATGTTGTAGATTGTGTTCTCTTTTCCCATCCATATTTACGATAAGACATCTACTTTAAATTTGTCAAAGGTGGAGCATGATTTGGAAAAATGATATTTCAACAACCACATTGATTCTTCTCAACGACTTCTGCGGGATTTAATGAGACAATACAACACGTCTTGTCACTTCAAAGCTTGAGAACAAGTGAAAAAGGCACTTCCTAGAAAATACTATCATTTACGCGAAAAATCGTTTGAATATTGCCCGTTTCACAGCTTAAATGTATTGAACATCAAATCATTTACCTGGATTTGATGTCCATGAAAAATGACGAGACGTGTCAGATGTGAAATCAATTCTAAGGTTTGATGTATCTGACAATGCACAAGTACGTGTCTTTGGAAAAGTTTTTTTCTATATAGAAGACTGTAAAATATTTAATTCTCTAATTTTCTTTTCTTTTTCCGTGTCTTAAGGTTCGTTGAGAATCTTTTGATTTCTACTAGAAGGGAGAAGCATCGACACTTCCTCTGGAGTTGACATCCCCAAGGAAGAGGTTTCTTGTGAATGATGTTTGTGCACGCTTGCTTGCTTTACGCAGATATATAATTATCAAATATGCATTCGATTCTAGTTGATACAATGCGTCTGCTTTACACGAAAATAAGATTTAGAAATATCTTTAGATACAAGAAGTCTAATAATAGAGTTGTCAATATATTTCTTAATAAAATGGAGTCTCTTATTTGGAAGTTAATATTCAAGTACTTGCGTAACATTTGTATTATGACGCATCTTGTATTAAATATTAAAATATATAATGATTACCTTTTGGCAAGGTACAATTAACAGTGTTTTGCAATACATTTTCCGTAAGCAAGTTAAACGCCCACAAACATGTGTAATGACTGTAAATGAAAAGTGTGCAAGAGTGTATCTGCAGTGTGCTGACGAGATCATTTCAGCAACGTAGAGAATGGACGACATTAGGACCCAAGTCATCTAGAAGTTTGAGTTTTCACGAATACAACATCGTTTGAAAAATACAACTTCTACTACTTTTAAAAAGTACTATTTAAAACGTTTCAAGTAATATGCTCTAAGTAGTTTTTGTGGGAATTGTGATAGCCCTTAAATTCTGCTTCACTTCATACATTCAATAAATTGACATTCCACACTAAAATATTTGTTTAAATTTAAGATAATTATTTGAATTTTAATAACACTTCAATTTTAATTACCCGAATCTTCAGATAATTGAATTTAATAATCAACTCACAATTTCATGATTTCAGGTGTTCTATTAGCGCTAAATTAGCTGTCTTTGTTACACATAAGTGTTTCACACAGTGTATACACACACTAAGTGGTTGGCTGTCAAGAATGAATGTGCAAAACGTGAATAGCGGATGTGAAGAATTTCTTAATTTTGAACATCCTTTTGTAACATACTAGGAACATATTTTGTCTAAAGCCACGATTTCGTGTACCGCGAATGACATAGTCCCTAACAGTAGTAGCTGCCACCAGCGATGACTTGTTCCCTGTGCCGTCCATGCCCTGGCGCTGGATGCGAGTGGAGGTGCTGTGTCGGCCGCGCCAGGCGGCAGGTGTGGCTGGCTGCGTGGAAACGCATGATTGAGGGCGGGCGGGGGCGGGGGGCGGGGCCGCAGGCGGGGGTGGAGCAGCTCGGCGCTGAGCGAAAATGCGCTCGATGACGTCAGCGCGCTATCGAGCCACAACGCGCGCCTTTTGTCGTGGCGGTAGCGACCGCGCGCCGCCCGCCGCCGCCGCCGCCGCCGGCCGCCGCCGCCGCGCGCGCCGCCGCCGCACGGCATTGGCGGCGCGTTTGCGAGGCGGCGGAGCAGGCAGCTGCGGCCGGGGGCGGGGGCGGACCGGTCCAGCTGCGAATCGAACGCTACCACCGCCCCGCCCCCGCCCCCGCCTCCGCCGCCGCCCGTCCCAAAGCCCAGCGATTCCGCTTTGCCGAATTCCCCATTTCGCGCGTCGCTCGAATATTGTCTCGTGGGCGAGGCGGCGGCGGAGGCGGCGGCGCGGCGCGACGTTCGGTATCGACTGGCGACCTCAGCGCGTCCGTCGCGTCTGCTGGGATATTTGAACAAACGGCAACTTAATGAAAGACTCGCTATCTCTGCACACGACGCCTTGATGCTGCGTATTTTGCCTAATTTTCAATTGATCATACTAATTAATTTCGATTTCTAATGTGTTACGTTTTCATAAACCGATTCGTAGGTGATAGCGCCTACAAATAATTGAAGAAATTCTTTATATTGTAACTTTTGTTTTTTGTAAATTTTAGACGATCAATAAATGATATTGATGTCGAACAATGAATGATATATGACGACATGAGAAGATATAAAAGCAGTCCACGAATAACTCTCTGGTACGTGCATTGAAACGTGTTATTAATTTTTTGGTGTGTTGATGACATACCTAACACATTGAGGTTGAATGACTAACTAGTATTTTCATTAACCGTTTATTTCAGTGTATTTTTTTCTTTTTCGCTCGTGTATCTGCTATTCGCCGTTGAGCGTGTTTACTTCCGAGTAGTGATCTAGATTCCCGCAAGGCGCGCTGCTGTCTATCCGGGGGTGACCTTGCTGGCCCAGCACCCTCCTCGGCCTGGTGGGCGCTGGCGCGCGGGCGGTCGGCAGGGCGGGCATTGCGTGTGCGGTCCGGTCGTGTGGTGAGCAGGGTTGGCGCGGGGCGCGGGCACGGGCGAGGCCCGGGCGTTGCTTTTGGCGGTTGGGGCGGGCGGGGGTAGCGGCGCGGAGGCGGCGGCTCGACGCACTGCGGAGGCCGCGGGCTGGCCGCGCGCCAGAGCGCCGCCGCCCGCGCTGCGCCGTCGCCCCCGGTCGCCGCGGGCCGCGCCGCCCGGCCGGCGCCCTCCCGCCCGCCCGCTCGCTCGCCCGCCGCGTGCGCGTTCGCTCGCGCCAGCAAGGTGCGAGGAGCGCGGCGGGGATTGGTGGCGGGG